TGCATCCAAAGGGAGAAAGGGCTCCTATTAAGCATCTCTTGAAATTGTCAAAGGCAAGATTGACTGCCGGAATTAGTCAATGGGACACCAAATGCATGTGTGACCCTAGACAAATAATTGACCCAGAGATGGAGAGACCTCATAAAGGGAGGGAAGGGGGAGAGGAGCAGAATCCAACCAGAAACACCCCAGGAAACAAGGCTTAAAGATGCACGCACACCGCATACGGTCGGCCCTTCGCATCCTTGGATTCTCTATCCACACGTTTAACCATCCGTGGCTTGGAAATATTCCAAATAATAATAATAATAATAATAATAATAATAATAATAATAATAATAATAATAATAATAATAATTTCCAGAAATTTGTTTGGATGGTGAGTCAACACATAGGAGAATCCTACTGATTCAATGGGCTTACTCTAATTGGGATTAGCAATAGGACTGAGACTCTTCTTTTCCAACTTTAATTTGCCTGATTAAGAAAACTCTGTCAAGTGATGATTATAGCAAAAGATATATATATATATGTGTATGTATGTGTGTGTGTGTGTGTGTGTGTGAATGTTTTTAACTTTTCCCCTTTTTGCTATTGTAATGACAACTGGTGAATGTGGCCAAAAGGGATGGAACTGGAGCAAGCCCCATTTAGGGTCATTAAAACCAAAGGTAGCCAAGAACAAAATTCTTGGGATTTTATCCCTCTCTTCACAGCCTCTCTGTGTTTCGGGAGAACAGGAATCTGTCGTTCCTTTCCTTCATGTTCGCTGGGCAGATCCTGGAGCAGTTTGAAGTTCACTTGATTTCCAAGTGACAATTGTCCTGATTAGAATATAGGCCCTTAAATGGTCAATTATTGGATAATTTGATTTGCTGGAGTTCCCCATAATGGGGGCACTGGAAATGGAGGAGGGAGCCATCGCGCCTCTAAGGGATGATGGGATGATGCGCTTTGGAGGATCTGCTGGGTTTTTAGAAGGAAACAAAGTCAGACAGTCATCATTTGGCAACTTCTTGCTCAGACACAATTTATTTAAAATACTAACTCTGCTCTGTCAATCGTTGGCAACAGGAACGGAGGTTACGCTAACGCCACACGGGTTTTGTCGCCTACGTGCAAAGATCCCATTAATGCAGCAATTTTGGGAGAAGAGCGAAGGGCCAGGGCCAGTTTAGGAAACTTTGCATGGGATCTTTGCATGTAAGCGATGAAACCCGTGTCCCCATTGCCAAAGAGTAAGCCC